GTCCCCCTACGATTCTGAGATCCTGCTGTACGTCCAGGAGAAGAAAAGGATAAAAGTCCCCCTACGATTCTGAGATCCTGCTGTACGTCCAGGAGAAGAAAAGGATAAATGTCCCCCTACGATTCTGAGATCCTGCTGTACGTCCAGGAGGGGGCCTGCTTTCCTCTTCTCACGGCTGAGGCAGGTACGCTTCTCCTACCTCAACACCGCCCACCCCAGCCCCAAAACAGGAAGGCTCAACAAGAATCATAAAATATGCCCAAAGCCGACTTCAAAGCCGACAACTTGCCCATTTCACCTCTTCCCAAGATGACCCTTCCAATTTCAGCCATGTTTAACAAAAGCCGCATTTCTCACATTTCACATCAGCACATCAAACAGTATAGAAAGCGTTTTCTTCTGCATGCAAATACAAAATTAAATATTGGTTTTTAACTTCCCATTTCTGTCATAAAGCTCATACATTTTGGGAAAAGGGTATTTCTAATTATGATGGAATTTAAGCCCACTTTAGACTTACAAGTGATCAAAATATTATACAAATGTTATTCCAGGTGTCATTAAAACACTTACCATCAAGGGGAGAAATGGACAAATTATATATTATAAATTCAAAACCTCACTCTATGTCTCAATATTTAAGAGGTTGGTGTAGAAGGGAAAATACACGTGGGAGCACTTCCTTTGCATTTCCTTTGCTTTTAAATGCTTCTTTTGTTATTATTTGAATGTTCTGATTTAGAACCACGGTCTGAATTTTCTAAACACCTTAGCCTCAGGTAGACCGGCCAGCATTTCAAAATTCACCAACGAAACAGTGAAGTGTTAACCAAAAAAAGCTTCCTCTGGGTCAAAGACAAAGAACGAACTCGGCTTCTACGCTATGCTCTGAGAAATGATGGCTTATTTATAGCCCCACATGCCAGTAACTGCAGGAGGCCTGAAGCCAAAGGAGGGATGCATCAAGACATTGCTGGGCTCCTGACGCCGCGCCCACACTGCCGGCTGGGGTTGCTCTGGTTTGGTTTCCTGTAAGAGGGGAAATAGCGCCTATGTGGTGTATCTGCCCCCAAAACAGGAACACAGATTGGGCTTCTCAGTAGCAACGTTCTTTCACCCGCCCCCAGAAATACCACCTGAAAATAGTTAATCAAATAGCTCCAACAGGCAGGAGGCTCAGAAGACCAAATTCTACAAAAACAACTGATTACTATTGTTGACTTATTATTGCTAGGACACTGAAAATTGTGAGATTCTCATCGAGCGCTATGAAGCCTTCTCATTTTAAGTTTGTAGCGTCCCTACGCCCCCCCCCCCCCCCCCCCCCCCGCCCCTGAGTCATCCTCTCATTTTATGAAGAGCCACTGACATGCTCACCCTGCCCGTGCCCTGGAAGTCCATCACAGCCCAAAACGCTCTGAAACAATAAAACACAGGTGCGTGGCACCCCCTGTGCCCCTTTCTGTGGCTTGTCTTCTCCTCTGGGAAACCCAATTATCAAAATACAGAAAGCAAACGTGTAAACACTGAGTAGTAAACGTGCAGACTCACTAACGTCTCACTCACCTTCCCAAGACACTAACAAATGGAAGCACCATCGTGCCGTGTCAGGGCCGGACCTGGAGCTTCTGGGCCAGGAAGCCTGCTGGGCGAGGACCACCCACCTCCTGCTCACCAAGGCTGAGGGCACTGGTTTTTGCCTCTGTGGACATGACTTTGGCCTTAACACCCACCATAACCAAATGTCTAGTTCAGGATGGAAGAAGTCTGGGGCTCAGGGAAATAAGATCAGACTTGTCTCACACGCGACTATTCTTATACATATTCCAGTCATAATTAGACTAACCCTACAAGATGCCTATGAATTACGCACGGAACTGCCAACCATCCAATGTTGGACCCAGATGAGCTGGAAATGAAAGCTACCAGAATGAACTAGTGAAACTGAAGACCTTCATAACCTCGGGACAACAATGATTACTTAAACCCAAAGTTAAAAGTGCGTAGCTTTGATTAACGCTGTAGCTTTTGCAGAAGTCACTTTGACTAACGCAGTAACTTTTGCAAAAGTCACTGTAAATGAAGTTAAAAAGCAAAGGGTTATTGACTATGAGAAAATGTTTTGCGGATATTAAACAGAAATCGACCCAGATTAAATAAATAAAACCCGCAAATCAATAAGAAAAAATAACGATAGAGAAAAGGGGCGAAGATTAAGAATACGCGAATAAGAGAAATCCAAATTGCCTATAATTTTATTTCTTAAATGTGCATCTTCATAAGTTATCAGCCGTCTGCAAATTAAAATGAGATGCTGTTTCTCACCCAGATTGACACAGATTTTTAGAAATGAATCATTCAAACCAGAAAGAATTTAGAGGACACTGATTAAATGAGATAACTTAAAGAACCCAGACCACAAAGACAGCTACTTTGTAAGTAAACAGAGCATTCCTGTCACTTTCGGTGACTTGCCTGTGCACACCCTCGTGACAGGTGTGCAAAGAGGAAAATACAACTATGTTATATTTGGAGTGAAGAATCACTCCAAAAAAATAACTGGTCAGTATCTAGTAAAACTGCAAATCTCACAGCCCACTACCCCGGCAACATCACTTCTGGATATATTCCTTAGAGAAATTTACAAATTTATCTGCGTCTGAAGACAAGTAAGAGCTTCTCTGCTGTAACACTGTGTACACTGTATGAAAAAAATTAAAATGAGCAAAGGAACACATGTGGCCTCTTCAAATTATGAACCACCACATAGTGTTCAAGAAGACTGAACCAGACTTAAATATATTAACATGGACAGAATTTAAAAACACAAGTTGACAGGGGGAAAAGGCAGATGCACAATACTTATGGTATGATATATTTCTTAAAATTAAAGTACCATAAAACAATGTTACACATTGGGGATGTTACAGGAATATGTATATACAAGTAAACTCAACCCACAATAGTGGTTGCTTCTTGGGAGTGGGAAGGACAGGGGTGATCAGGAGGGACTTAAATGCTGCCTGAGAGGTTTTCTTTTAAAAAAAGGTAGAGAATTCAAAAGCAAATATGACAGAAGACTTAACTGTTATTTACTGGGGATGACTAGGAATATGCCTGTTTTACCATGTTTGTTTTTCATTTTTTTAATTTCTCAAAGTGAAAATTCTCCTAGCTGCTAAGCCACCTTGGTGAAGAAGAGACCTTGATCCTACCATCACAGTGTCTGCTGTCCCAGAAAAGCTGAACTGAGAAGCACAGAAGGAGGCAAAGAAGGACTGAAGAGTCCTTCCCTGTCTGCCCCCCAAAGTCTTTCCACATCTTCGTGAGGACTTTTTATGCTTCCACTAGCAATTCTAAGAATTTGCCCTGAGCTGTACCTCCA